ACATCTTGAGATACCTTAAAGACCACTCTTTACTGGGCCGAGTGTGGCCCAGTGGTTAGTGTGCCGGACTGTGAATCTGAGTGTTCCTGTGTTATGTCTCATTGTTACACAAACGTGTTGTGAGTGCGTCAGATACTACTATTCGATTAGAATAGCACAAGAGTTGACGGCAGGCTCTTTTCTCTTGTTGTCTTCTCTTTAGTAAATAAATTGTATAGCTTTGCGACCATCCATGCAACCAACAAACAATGCTAATACTTTTTTAAAAACAACAGCAACTGAAAATCATTCTTCACCTTATAACTGATCGATTGTTATAATTGGACATCGAGCTAACATTTATCAGGAACATTCCAAAAAAAGTTTTATTTGGTCATGGAAAACGCGAAGATGTATCATATTTCTCGTTATCCAGCAACATAAACAAACACGATAACGCGTGGTCATTACGAATAAATAAGTGCTCTTGGGAATTCCAGTTTCCAGCTAGTTGTTTCTGGGAAGTGGAAATTTACAGCTCATAAAGCAGTGTACATCTGTATTTACTTTCATTGGAGGTTTGTTTAATTGTCGTTATTGTAATGTATTTTTTATTACCTGCGTATTTGCCATGCTTCAAAAAAGTATTCGAAGGTTAATTAAATAATACAGTAATAATATGGTTTCTTGACTCTATATCTGTTTTGGTAGAATGTGTACACTGTCTTCAAAACATATTTTGAGAACTCAAAAGCAACAACACTTTTAATCTGGTGTAAAGTTCAGCACCGAAAAGATGTGTTAGTTTTTCCATTTCGTATTGTGTTCACATTTTTTCTAATCTGTGGTAGTATTTTGAAAATTGTGGTACATCATTGTAACTGAACTAGACCGCAACTAGAGTCGAGTTACTTAACCAGATGTTTCAGTCTCTAGAACTGAGTTCAGCTAACTTTGATCCTTAACTGCCTTTCTGGGAATCGAGACATAAAATGCCCTTGATAATTGGTGAGATATTGTACGCTAAGATGGAAATACTGGTATATTTACAACATGTACTGACAGACCTCTTTATTAGGACCTTCTATCATATGTATAGAACATTCAGTTTGTTTTCCTATGGAAAATAGACGACCATGGGATGTATAAAGTGATTACTTGAATCTTATAAATTAATATATGTGATCACATCACAGTTAGTTGGTAAATTAATGAGTCAGTCTTCTTGCTTTTCAAAGAAACATGATAATTGGTCCCCATCTAGAAAATCGCCGCTGCCAGTGTCTTTTTCTTTGATTGTTAGAAACATCTATCATTAGAGCCAGTCAAAAGAGAATATGAATTTCACTTGGACAAGTTGTAGTTGTCAACTGTTAACGAAAAACCGATCGAAAAGACCCAGTGGACTTTAACAGTGTTCAGAATACGGCTATCCTCAAACTTACCATTTGAACGGCATTACAAAGATTGTAATTTGGCAGCAGACAAACATTTTGAAACCTGGTTATCTCGGTTGCAAAGAGGAAAATAGAACTTCAATTGTTCTTAGAAGCCAGAGTGTGGAAAACGTGCGATGTGACCTGATGGGTCTTGCTTATCCCTTCCTTCGCTGATGGAAGGGTTCAAATACGACAAAAAATATACAAGGCATATAATTGTGCTTGTATTGTTCAGACGAAACTACTATTGGAGGTAGTGTATTGGTATAGAGAATGTTCTCGAGGTGAGGTTGCTTCTTTTGATCCGTTTAGAAGGGCCATAATGTCCCAAGTTTACCTGAACGTTATTGCCAGTAATGATTACCCATTTCTGATGCATTTTCATCTTGATGAACAATGACTTTTTCAAGAAGATAATGTAACAATTCACCAGTCTTATATTATTCTGAATTGATTTTAATTTTCAGTAATTTTTCATGATCAACAAAAATCACAGATTCTCAATCCGATTGAGCATATATGAAAGAAATTTGAACTTTACATTCATCACCGTAATCCTCTTCAGACCAGAACTGCCAGATAACTCTCACAAAACCACACTACTAGCAAAAATCCCTTAGGCGCATGTGCATGTCACGAGTCCATAATAACGTAAAGAAATGTGAATTTTATTTCTGGAGTTTAGAAAAGTATTCGGTGTTGCCTTCCATTGATAAAAACTTGAATCAATGGCTAAGTTAGTGCAAAGAGATTAAATATGCAGATCTTACTTTATACAAGTCACAAGAAAACACTTATAGCGCATGCCCGAAAAACATGTTTTTCACACATTTCCGGGACGATGACGATAAAAGCAGACAGATGGGACATATGTGGGATGAAATATGATTGGTAACCACATTTGTTCGTTATTGTCGGGAGAAGGAAGGTTATAGGCAAAGAGTATGTTTTAGGGTGAATTGTAATGTGTGTAAACAGAATAACATAATAGAAAAAATCTAGAGAGTCATTAAGAAATAGAGAAAATACTGGGTTTACCCCACCAAAAAATCTAACTCCCATAACTCAATCTTCCCCAATTTGGCAAACCTGCTACAGCAACTTTCCAATGATTGGACTGCAATTGTACAAGACACATTCCGGCACCCCATGGAGTTTATGTCATGCCGAATCTAGGTTGTTATCACTGCTAAAGTGATTCAAATTGATTTTAGTTAGGGTTCCTAATGAAGTAGCCCGCCTGTTTATAACGTTTATACAAATAGAGCAGGTCGCGTTTGTTATTGAAAGTGTGTTACACTAACATTTTGGAATAATAATAAATGTATTATTAATGTTATCGGAATACGTAAAACGTGTAATTTGTTGAAAATATTATTTTTCACTCGTATAGAATAACTATTCTAGTTATTTTTTCAACTTTTAATATTTTCATTTGCCTATTCACCGTTACAAAGTCCGAAAGAAGCCTTTCCCATTAATACTAATATGTCAGTTAGAGACAACGTTTCTTTGTATGAAGCCAACGTTTGATTTTAATCAATCAAACATGCCAGGAAGTTTTCAGTCGTTATCCTCTTTCAATGTAATTTAAAGTTCTGTCGCCACTCCTGTGATCTGAAGCTGAGGGTCACGTGGCAGTTAAGAAGTCACGATGACATTTCGTTACATAGTACGGAGTGGAGATCTTCTTTTTAAAGAGATAAATCTTTCAGCTTTTTTTGAGTTTGAGAAACGTAGCTGAGAACAGCTGTTCGGGAAGTTCGTGTTAAACGAAGGGCAGTATGAGTGGACAGTATTTCTGTCTTTAATCACAAAAGTTATTATTTCATTGACAATGTTTTGTGTGTGTGCGTATGTACTCAATCTCCCGTTATACAAAAAATCACCTTCAACAAATTTTTATCCAATCGGCGAACACCATTTTATTAGACAGTTGTTACACCACTGATAACTAATGCTTTGTACATTTTGGTTAGCCATTGAAATATCGTTATTTTTTCTTACTGATAACCAACGTTTGGTACATTCTGTTTCGTATTTCATTATCTTTTCTCGGATAAAGTCCATTTTTCTTTGCGTTGATAATTCCCATTTTCTTAATATCGTTTTTGCTGTACCATTTCCCATTTTGTACATAATTCTTATAAAAACATCACTCTTTTCGTACTTGTTTTTTTTTTTACTCTCTTTGTTTTACATATACACACACACACTCTTCATTTGATAGACTGCTTTGTGCTCACACCCTAACAGCTTTCATTTTTATACTTGTTTCATTTCAGGCACCTTCCAATTTTTCTACATAATATACTATACATACTGTTTATACTGTAATAGCTATCATTTTGTACATAATACTACGTCGAAACTTTGACAGCTATCATTTAGCGCGTACTTTTTATTGTGTTCTTAATTTTTAGGTACTTGTATTCCTTTCAACAGTATTCATTGTGTACGTGTAGATATTGTTTCCGTATTGGTAATCGCCATTTTTAACGTATCAGTTATTAGTACGATGCTATTAAGTGACTCATTTATAACGTTGCCTTGGTGATAAGTCATGAGGTGTACAGAGAGTATAATGTAAGTTCAAATATGGAAATAACGGCTCTGTAAATAAAGAGAGAGAGGGAGAACTCAAGTGACAAGGCTACACAACTGTCAAGAAATTCTGTAACTTAAAGTCATCTTTCTTAGATACTTATATTATTAGTTTACAAGCTGACGTATAGAAAGGTCATTCTGTTGGCAGCAAACGAAAAACAAAACATCAACATCGTATTCCTTCTCCATAATATCCACCTACTTCGCTTTACATTTGAAGCATGCGTGCTCATTACCAGTACATATAACTTAATGCTACAATACAAGGTCGCTCTAAGGAGTGTATGATGACAGAGCACTAATTTGTCGTGTTTAGACATTTTGTCTCATTAAGACATATTAATTTCGTATTTATGTTTGCATCATATAAAGTTTTGAAGTATGCTGTAAGTTACATAGGCATGTTTGAATAAGTGTTGCTTTGATGTGTTCCCTCTTTGTGCTCTCAATGCTATTTATTCTAAAATCTGACGTTTTTTTAAATTAAAGTCTTAACTTTAAATTCCGAATGTTTTTTTTTGTTTGTTTTCAAATGTTATAAATCTGTAAAATATAATACTTCTTTGTTTTAACTTTCAGTAATAACAAAAAAAATGTTTGAAACATATATTATTACTTAAATTTGAAACGAAATTGTTGATAAAAATTTTGAATGAATAATAGGTATGGAGATTTAAGTGTGAATTGAGAAGACCATTTGCCTTATATAGTTGCACTTATATTTGATTTAGGACAAAAGTTTGTGCAACAGAATAATTATACAAAAAGAAATTAACTTCATTCTCAACACTGCTTTTACTATTTCAATCGTCATGTTTCAGTAAATAACAAATTCGGGAATTGTATATTTATTATTATTTTGCACCATCAGTTGGTATTTTAAATAACCCTCACTTCATTGACTTCTGAAATTAATAAACCTTCTTGGCTTATTGAAAAACGTAATAGGTGTAACAGGATGTTGTAGTGATCATGATGAATGGTTGTCTACTTGTTTTAGTAACTGTAGTTGCTGGAACATCAGTATCAGAATACTACCTTGTAAGGTAGTAATTTCTTAGTGTCATGATTTTTTGTACTGTGTATTTAGAAGTTAGTAATGAATGAAGCTGATTTTTGTTTTATTCTGCTTTACAAAATGCAATTATATATCATAAGTTATAGAAATATTAAGATGTATACTGTATTATATATTTAATATGTACATATATATATATGTGTGTGTGTGTGTGTATATATTTATTTCAAAGAAAATTGTGTTCAGTATTGATTATATTGCTACTATGTTGGAATGAATATGACTTTTTAGCCCAGAAAATGCAAGTACATAAGTGAAAAACTTTACATGAGAAAATTGACTTTAAATTCACATTTATTTATTGTTATTTAAAGTATTGTTTTGTGTTGTTTGTTTCTCTCTTCTAGGGAGAAATATTGTACATACCAGCTGATCAATGTTGTCCTCATTGCTCTTCTGCTGAAAGATCTTGTACTTATGACAACAAAACAATTCCAGTAAGTTAACATACAAATGCAGGTGTTTGTAGAAAGCTACTGGAAAAGGCATCAGTTTGAATGTGAATACAAGAATATACCAAGGCATTTCATAAAATATCCTTTGAACTTGTTTATTGAGAAAAGCAACAATTAGATTTAGTTTGAGTTTAAACAGATGGCACTCTTTTTTTTTATTTCTGTGATTTTTTTATTAGTTTATGTTTTTCTATCAAATGTAATTGAATATATAAATACTGCACAAAAAACCAGTTTAAGAGATAATTGGAGTTTATGATATACTATAATGACAATTAGATATCTGATAATCAGTTATGTAACCTGAAATGCAACTGATTGGGCATTCAACTTGTACTGTATGTAGTAATATCACACAATTTTGTCTTGCTTACCACTTTAAAGTAAATCACGAGTGTTTTAAGTGCTATAAATTGTTCAGGAACCATGGCTTGACCTGAAAGAAGACATTGGATTTTTCACTCATGTGAAGAGCCATAGAGTGAATAGAAGCCCTCTAGTCACAACAGTCTGTTGTGAATTGGCTGAAGTGTTTCAAATTGTTGTTAGCAGAATGGAAGTACTTCCAAACTAATGATAAAATTACTGAATAAGGCAGACCATTGTCTTAACAAAAGCATATGATTTTGGCTCCCAACGATCATAGGTTACCTGCCCTAAGATTGAATGAGATTCCTGCAGCCTCAACTGAATGCCATGCGAGTGAGCAGATGATTAGAACAGGCTTAATAAACCTAGACTGTAAGCCAGATGCCCAGTGAGGTGCATTCCACTTCATTTGAAGGCACAAAATAGCTTGCCTGCAATGATGCCAAAAACACTCGAAGGACAAGTGGAGCAATTTTCTTTTTATAAATGAATTGTAACCAGATAACAAGCATATACTCATTTGGAGAGAACCCAGAAGTATATCCACCCCATTTTCATACAGCAGTGTCAAGCATATGGCAATGATGGAGGTACAGTGTGGGCAGAGCAAAGCATTAGTGGAAGTACTAACCTCTTTATCCTGAAAAATAGTACCATCGATACAGCAAATTATAAGGACTGTATCCTACAGCTCTTTATGCTGCTATATTTTGATGCAATTTTTCGTAACTTCAAATTAATGGATAATAATGCCTCCACCACTTTTAACTGATTGGACTGTAAAGATGCAAATCCACTTCTATCAAATGTTAATTTACAAAAGTTGGCTAAATCTCCAATCATTTGCATTTCAGATCACACAATGGATCATGAAATACCTGGTTTGCTTAAAAATAAACTGAGCAGAGTTGTTGATATTATTTTAATACTATAGTTTTTTGCTAAATTATTGAAAGCTCCAATAATCCTTTAATTGTTTGATGCACTGTATTTGAATTGTTGTGTAAAGTATAATTTCTTTGTTCCTTCTTTAAACCTAGTTAATGAGTTGTAACAGTGACTTATAATAATGTACAAAAGATAGGTCTGAAATACTGTTTTAACCACCTTTTCTTAATAACAGCTGCAGCCTAATATGAAGTGTCACCACATAAGCTATAACTTGATTTTTGACAAAGTGAGCACTTCTGGCTTACACAGTTGTAACTCACTAATATAAAAGAATTATTCTAAATCTTTAAAACTTAAAACTAACCTTTTATATTGGACATAATCTTCCACATTTTTGCAGAATTTTTATTGAAACATTATTTATGTCCTAGAATGATTGAAAATTGTTGGTTTTATATAGGTAATATCTAATATATGTAAATATTGATATAAACAAAGATTGGACTTTTCAGTAATTTGTATTTAATGCTCTCTTTGCCTTTATAACTTTTCTTTGGTCTTAAGGAGGGAACAGGGTGGACATCAGGGAAGTGTCAAAAGTGTGTCTGTTCAGGAGGTAAGGTGCAATGCCAGAAGACAAAATGTGATATTACCTCTTGTGGTTTAGGACAGGTGCTGCAACATCTGGAAGGTGATTGTTGTCCTCGATGTGTTCCATCTGGAAGTGAGTATTTACCTTTGTTTGAAATCCTGTTTTCATTGTTTATTGGTGAATTGGTAAAGATAATAGAATATTTAAGTATTTGAAAACTATAAAAACACTGTGCAACAATATATGATTGTTGTTTTATAAACATTGTAAACTACAAAAATATGTTGAATAATCTGAGAAGTAAGTTTATTTTATAGAGATTTAGTTAGTATCAGAGTTTCTACATTTAGTTTTGTCTTTCAGTAGTATTGTATTTCACCACAAGTTTGTTTTAACTTACTCAACTGTAGTGGTGAAAACAAACCAAGGCTGCAGATTTGTGCACTGTCCTGACAGGCTGACTTCTTATAGGTAGAATAGTGATTGTTTTTAGTCGTTTATTTTGTTGATGTAGCTTATTTAAAAGTCAAGAGGTTTGAAGATTTATCTAATACACAAAACTACCTCCTGGTAGGACAGTAGTAAGTCTTCGGATTTACAATGCTAAAATCAGGGGTTCAGTTCACCTCTGTGGACACAGAAGATAGCCTGATGTGGCTTTGCTATAATGAAACACACACACACACACAAAGCTGCTTCTTTCATTTCATCTAGCTTATGGCAGAAAGATTATATTTCAAAATGCATTTGTTTTTAAGATATGATTAATCTATATGATTTAAATTATCTGATAAAGTTGTTGTTGTTTGTTATTAAGCACAAAGCTACACAAAGGGCTATCTGTGCTCTGCCCACCATGGGTATCGAAACTCGGTTTCTAGCAGTATAAGTCGGCAGACATACTGCTGTGCCACTAGGGGGCATATGATAAAGAATTGTTGTGTCAAAAAAGGAATGAAAAATTGTAAATATTTTTATCTATACATCATAGGTACATAAATCCTTTTTGGCTGTAGTTTAAACTTTAATTGAAAGAGCTATTCTTATTTAATCAAGTTACAGATTATTATAAGTACCAAGCAAGTAGATTACTGTATTGGTACAGCTAAGGAAAGGGCAACATATTTTATTATTGTTTGAGTTTCCAAGGAAATAGCTATATCTATTGCATTTTTCAAATTTGTATAGCTAAAGATGAAAAAAACAGAATTTACTGTATTTTATAGGCTAAGGTACTTCAGGTTCATGTAGGTATCAAAATAGAAAGTTTATTTACCATATTTTTTAAAATAATATAGTTACAATCAAAAGAGCTATATCTGTTATTTATTGTAGGCCTTTACCTATGGTATATTGTAGATTCAAATAATTATAGAAGAAATATCTATATTTATTGTGCATTACTAACTTAATGTGTTTTATATAGTTTACATAGAAAGATATATTAGTTAATGCAGGGTCGTTTAACTTCTGAGATAGTGAATTGTACTTTTCTTTTGTTATTGTTTTATTTACCATTCATTTATTATTTTTTCTATCATTTAGTTCAACTATGAATTTTAAGTTGAATTAACATGTTAAGTCACCTTCCAACTAGAGTATAGTGATTTTCAATACTTATGTATTATGAAACTGACAAATGCTTCCCCTAGTGGTGATGTACAGATATCAATGTTGTGAAAGATTATGTATACTTATGGTAATAGCTAGTTGCATGAGATGTAACCTCGTGGTCTAATCACTAAATAAATAAATAGCCTTCCTTGATCTTGAAAATGAGTTAGTTCATGAGATATAGTTAAAAAGAATTATTGCTTGATATTGTTATTGATATTGAAAAGTGGTTTAATTTTGAAATATTGTGTTAGTCTCTGGTGAATTAGGTTTTTTACTCTTCTGGTTCTTTTTTCTTAATTCCTTTGATATTTATTGAAATTTATCACATTGAGATTTATGTGGTATTGCTTATTAATATATGTACCTAGGGATTTACTAATTGTTTTTGTAAGAAATAAAATTTGTATTCTAATTGTTTTAAAGTTTTATTTTGGATTGCTGTTTGTTATATTTAATAAATTATTTTTGTTTGACAGTAGTTATAGTGTTGTTTTGTTTAATCTGTTACAAACTGTCAAGGAAAGAACTTTATTCTTTATTCTTACACAAGAGAAAACTATATTATGTATTGCAGGTTCATGTAGCTACCAAGGAAAGACATACTACAGTGGGAATATCTGGTTACCTGCAACATGCAGCATGTGTCTCTGTGTGGATGGGCATGTGACTTGTTTTGTTGCAGAATGTCCTTCCCGTATTTGTGCTGAGGTGATTAAATAATCTTCCATCATTTGATAGCTTTAATTTCAAGTAGTGTGCATTAACAGAGTATATCTGCATTTTGTATTATTTTTTATAACTCTAATAAAAACTTTCTTTCATACACGTTACATTGAGAAGTATCTAAAGTTAATGAAAATTATTATAAAAGTAAAATTGATTAAATACATAAAGTTTATACACAGCAATTTAAAAATTTGTTTCTAACTGAAAAGAGGACTACTCCTAAACTCTTTTTACGACAATTGAAAATATTTTAATAAATGAAGAAATCTGACATTTAGAGAATGTGCGTAGAAACTTAATTTTCATGAAAAATAATTAAAGCAGTACATTTTTTGAAAAAACTCTATAAACTTGAATAAATTTATTATACTTAATTACTGTTCATCAGGGGGAGTTGTTGCAGACCATCCCAGGAGAATGTTGTCCCCGTTGTTTTACAAAGTCATGTGAAGTAGCTGGAATACTATATGAAGTATGTTTATTCATACTAATAATTATTATAAGAATTTTAATTCAATCATTTTTTGTGTTAAATGGAATATCATTAATTTCATTAATAAACAAAAGTTTTAGGTTTAATACACGTGGAAAATATCTCAAACAACAGTGTTTATGTTTACATATTATTGTTTTGTTTTTCATTTTCATTTTGTTTAAAAATTATCTATTTTGTTGTGGTCTGTAATTTTTGCAGGATGGAAGCCAGTGGATTTCTGATCCTTGCACTCATTGTAGCTGCCAGGCTGGTGAGGTGGTATGTGTATCAGAAGAATGTTTATCAGAAACCTCATGTGAACAGGTAATCATTATACAAAATAAAAGCTTTGCTTTTTAAGACACTGATTAAATAAGTTACTCGTACATCCAACACTTTCAGTTTTGTTTTTATTGTAACTGAATAATGATTTGCTAGAACACTTTTTTAAATATATATAACTAAGGAACAATATAAACAATATTTATCACTTGATGTTAAAAATGTCAAACACATACAAGTACAATTTTCTGCTTATTTACTTAGGGTTAACAAATGATAGATTCAATCTTTTCCCATTCATGCAACATTATAAATAATAATAATTTTTTATGAGGTATACTTAAGAGTAGTTTGTGCATTATGTAATTTGATAACATGATGTGAGCTGCACATTTGCCACGCAATTTGCAATTTATATTGCACAAATAATAGTTCAAAGGGCAACAAAACAATAAAATTTAAGTATAGATAAATGTGTACAAGCTTTAGGCTACTTAGAACAAACAATTTTGGTTTTCTGTTAAAATCTGAAATCATCCCAGAAAGAAAATAGGGGAAATTTGTAATTATTTCCTAATATTTTATGGTGATTACAAGGTCAGTCAAATCAACTGACTTCATGTAGAGTTAGGGTAAAAAAAATAACAGACAAGATATAAAGTTTTTCTGAAAAAAAAAACATTTGATAGTCATTTAGGATGTTATAGTGGTTATGCAAATGATATTTGAAAATTTTCAGATGAAGAAAAGTATTTTTAATCTTCTCATGAAAATTACTTTGCACTCATACAGGGAAACAACATGCAGTGTAAATACAGCTTTTCATTGAACATTAATATTTCCACTTGCAGAAGGTAAACATGTAGTGTACATTGTAAATAAAAATTTTCATTGACATTGATCTTTTTTTTTGAGTTTACTAAATTCTACTTGTGGGACTTTTGAAAATTAGTTTGGGACCCTTGAAAATCTCACTGAGACTCCTGAAAAAAAAAAAAAGCTGAGAGTCTCTGGGACCCTTAACTGTGGGACCTTAGTGAGAACCCTGATTATAAATGACATTTCTACTTTTAAACATCTAAGCCTTAAAATCAAAGGGTAAGAAAATAAAATATTTGGAGTCATATATAATTGTATAACATAGTTAAACATCTGCAATTAAAGATTATAAAAATAAAAAACAATATAATTGAATAATGATGATAAATCACAATTTCAAGTCATTACTATGACAAATTAGATATCTAATTGCTCTGATGAAAGGTGTCCAATATATATTGTTAAGTGGTTATTGGCTATGATTTTAGTATTATAATATATATCAGTTGGATGTCCACTGTTTTAAGTTTTGTTGACACTACCTTTCATGATTTTTTTTCTTTTGGCTTGTTTGTAGTTAAACACAAAATTACACAATGAGCTATCTGTGCTCTGCCCACCATCAGTATCAAAATCTGGTTTCTAGCATTGTAAGTCCACAGACATACAGCTGTGCCACTGGGGGGCATTTCCTTTTGGTGTTTTCCTTTTTTCTTATCATGTATTTTCCATCTTTCTGGTCTATCTTGCGGTTGTTTTGCCAATGTTGATTACCTGTTACTGAAACAGTCAAGAAGTACAAGTTTTTCTTGAGGTATAATGAAGAACATATGCTTTTAACTTAGTTTAAGTATTTGAATAATTTAAGCTTTTACAAAAAGTGGGTAATATGAATAAAAATAGAAATATTTGTTTGCATGAGTTTGTGTAATTGCTGAAAATAGATGTAGTAGTCAGACTTTGCAGAACATGTTTCCTTGTAAACCAGAACATCAAGGAATGAATGCGTGTTTATGATCTAAAGTTCTACAGAAAACTTTATGCTCTCAGGTGTGAATAAAAGGTTTTCAATTCTTCTCTGTGTCATCACAAAACAAACATATCATTGAAATAACTTTTCCACATATTTGGTTGATGAGTGAAGATGTGATGATAAAATGATCCATTCAAAGTCTGCACAAATATCCCCAGTACCACAGTGATAAGGGGGATTCCATTACATTAACATGCATTCAACATTTTGTAAAATTTATTATTAAATATGAAACCATTTTAATAGAGACAGTTGATGTCTAGATAAGTTCATGATATTTGAGGTACTGACTTCTGTCCATGCTGGAAAATTACTTGTCTTCATTTGAGTATTATATTAATTTCCTCTTTATATTTTATCTTGGTGAAATATGAGACAACATCTAAACTGACCATAATGGTAATTTAATGATAAGTCTTGCACTTCTTGAAAACAAGAGTATCATGGATGTAATGTGTGGAAGGAGAGGTGTATCAATTTTTTGCAGGTGAAATCAAAGATACAAGATTTGATGTTGGAGTAAAAAAACTTTATTTTGCAGGACTTTGGAAGCTGATCAACTTGTAGTAGTACTGTTACACTATATTGTGGAGATTGAATTTAATTAGAGTAAAAGAAACTATTTGATTAAACAATTAAAGTGAAGACTATGTTAAAAATGAAGCAAAACAAAATGGATATGATCAGCAGGTTGAACATCACAGTAAGACAAAAAAAAAAGAATTTCCACAGCAAGCTTGGCTCCTTCAGGACAGAAAGTGAGTGCACTTTCCTCAAAGTTCAGAATGAATCTTATGTGAAAATGGCAAAACTGCATTAACAATACACATTCTTTGTGTAGCCAACCAGAAATAGGGCACCAGAATGCAGTAATATTTATACTGCTTATGATATTTGCAAGGTATTCCCCTTAGACAAGGTCAGGTAGGACACAGTACAACTATCCTATGAAATAGCAGGTAAGTTCCTTGACCTCAGGCTGAAATTATCACATGAACTCAACTGGATTTAGGTTGCTGTAAATCAGATCTTAGAAACATTTTATAAATAGGAAATCTTCTGATTCTGCTATGACACAAAATAGAGTCATTAAGCTTCAGATCTTGTTTTGATACAAATAACAAAACATTGAAACAGTTTTTATGGATTTTATACACCTCAAAAAATATTATGTTTCTGTTCCTGTTCTGATACAAAGGTTCTGATTTTGTTTTGTCAAATCAAGTTCTTATCCTATAAGAGTATACACATACTACATACTTTACTCTCCTATAATATACCCTATTCAAGAGGCCAAATGAATGTTGTCCCTCATGTGTTTCCTCAGAAAGTAAGTTAGAAATTAAAAAAAACATTTTATATAAAAAACCTTAAACATAGTATAAACTAAAAATTTCACAGAAATAATAAAAGTATTTACAAGTGTTTTGAAAAACTTGTTCCTTACCATTTATTGAGAGAATGATTGTTAAAACAGTTATCAAATATAGAAATGTTTAATAAATCTATTTTTTAAAATCATTGAATTAACAAGATGAATTTTAAAACCTTCACCAAAAGGTATTTTCTGAAGTCATTGGGTTAAGGAAATGGATTTTAAAGTGTTCAAGTACTTATTGTAGATTGTTAAACAGATTAATTCATTGTCATTTAGTTAACAGAAAAAATGCAATAAAAATACTAAAAATGTTGTCAACAGTTTCAAATATATTTTTTATAAGTTTGTTTGTTGTAAAGCAGTTGGTTTTTTATGCTATACCCACTGCAGGTATCAAAACCAGATTTTTTATCATTAGAAGCCATCAGACTTACTGCTGAGCCACTGGGGGCATTTATGAAAAGCAACCATTGAATATGATAATTTTAATGTAATTGATAGGAACATTGTTTTAAAAAGATAATAGATTGCATTATTAGGAAGTGACTAGCCATCATATTAAGTGAATTTAGCAATATAGATTATATTTTAAAGACAGAAAATCAGCCACATAAAGCTAATATTGTATAAAAGTAATAAATTAGCTTCCTAAAATAGATATAATAGATTTTAAACATTTACTTTTAATTGAATTTAAAAACAGAAGGTTACATTTCTGTAATTTTTTTTATTAAGTTTACTGAGTAGCTATATATGCAATTTGAGACTTTAAATACAACTTAAAAGAAAATATATATGGTTACATAATTGTTTATTTATGTTCCAAGTCCATGTATTTATTATGATAACATCTTTTAGAGTTTTAGTCATTCTCGGGTCCATGTATCTATGTCACAACATTTTTTACACTGTTAATTCTATATCCAGGTCTATATATTTATAATAACAATATCTTTGACATTGTATTTTGTTCTTCAAGTTTACTTATACAAGTTAAAACATCTTTTATATTGTTTATTTACTCTCTAGGCCCATGCATCCATGGTAACAACACCTTCTACAGTGGAGACATTTGGAACATCAGTAGTTGTGAATTTTGTGTATGCTCGAAGGGAAAGATTTCATGTTCTACTGCATTTTGTGAAACACCACAGTGTTCATCAGTATGTAGTTTGTTTGCATAACTATACTGTGGTATTCACTCTGCCAGTAATTAGGAAGTTTTGTTATAATCACTCTGTTAAAAGTACTTATTGCTGTTAATTTATTTTTTCATCAAAACGTGGATTTCTGTTCTTTACATCGTCACTCAATAACTCATGTTTGTCATTAACTAGATTTTTTTTGTTCATAATTACACTATCAAAAATAACTCTTGTCATTTATGCTGTCAGTCTGTAAGTTTTTAATAATCACACTGTTATAAGTAATTTTTTTAGCATCTGAACTTTTAGTAATTATTGTTTATTATATATATATATATATACTATCAACCAATAAACAATTCTATAGTGTCCTCAGCACTGCATGCATGTAATTTCTGTTTGTATACAAATGTATTTAGTAATTCCTTTTCTTTTGTTGATAATCG